GTGGGGGGACAAAAGTTAAGGATTTGCGAGAGAAAGGGAATACTTGCTAGAGCAAGGTCCCTGAGATAGCTGGAGTTTTAGGACTGTAAGTGTATGAACTAGCTTTCAGTCTGAGATAGAACATTCTCTTCTGCTAGAGGAAGAGAAAAGGAAAACATGGGTTCAAATCTGATAAATTTGTATGAGGGGCATAGTAGAGAGAGGAAGTTGTGGACAGTTTGACCTATGACCTCTATTTTCTTGGTAAGATAGGGAAACAAGCTTGTTGCTGTGATTAATTAGTGACGAAAGAAGTGATGGGTAGGAAGTTTGAGAGGAGCTTTGGATCACATTGGCAAAGTGGAGGAGAAATTCATTGGAATATGTCTTGGCAGGGAGACTGGTTGAATGATGATAGATCATAAGATCTAGATTGTATTCCCAAAGAAGGAAATTCAATAAAACTTTGATTGATTGGAAGAAGATGGATGGGTTAAGGGTATAGCGGTAGCAATTTAATCAAAGAGCAAAGGATTTGGGGAGTGAGAGAGTTAGAAGGATAGGGGTTGGGACAATAGTGGGACATTGGATTTTAGAATACCAAGTATTGTTACGGTAGAGGATGTTGAGGTTCAGAGAGTGGGTGGTAGAAGAGCAAAGGGAATGAAGGTCATTTGAGTTGAGGTGGTCAGAATTATGTTTTTTAGTGGATTTTTTTCTTTTTTATTGAAGTGGATTTGGTAAGGGTGTAAATAATAAAGCACAAATAGTCTTCCTTGGCTGGTCTTTTTTCCCTCCTGCCCATTCAGGCCTGATAAAAGTTGCAACTTACCATAACAGGATTCTCCCCTTAGCCAACTCGTTGGGTACTGAGGCCCAAGTCAGTTTGCTCTTCTGGTAGGGAGATCTCATTTTCAGGACCTTATGACAGTGAAGAATGAGGGTTGGATAATGTTGTTTTTTCCCCACGTAGGTTTTAATTTATTCAGATTCTTATTGGAGGAGGAGAAAAGCATTAGTTATTGAACTGTTCAAATCCCAAGATAAACCCGTTTTACCTCTGACGAAGTTCGCTCAGTTTATAAATGACAGAGCAGGGATTAAACCAGAGTTTAAACCCAGAGATTCAACCCACACTCCTTGCCCAATTTCTGTTCCTCCATGCTGCCTCTTCAGGTTGAAATTATGTTGAGCAAAGGGGAAAAAAAGTCTCATAGTCAAATTATGTGGTTCCAGTTAACGAGTTATTGGTTCATTTAAGCCAACTGTTGATGTCCTGCTTGCTCCCAGGCTATCCGTTCAAAAAGACTCTCTGATCTGTTCCCATGAGGTGTATTCCAAGATGGTCTTCTCATGGGTCCTGCTTTAATCCAGTTGATATCTTCACAACTTCATTTTTGCCGCCTCTTGCAGTTGGCATCCATCCATACAGTTATACTGATAGACGTGCTATCACTGTGTCCATACATTGGTAATTTTTCTCTCACTTGATACTTTAGCTTAAACATTTTCTTTTCTTTTTTAAATATATTTTATTGATTTTTTAAGCGAGGAAGGGAGAGGGATAAAGAGTTAGAAACATTGATGAGAGAGAAACATCGATCATCTGCCTCCTGCACTCCCCCTACTGGAGATGTGCCCGCAACCAAGGTACATGCCCTTGACAGGAATCAAACCCTGGATCCTTCAGCCTGCAGACCAATGCTCAATCCACTGAGCCAAACGGGTTAGGGCTAAACATTTTCTATATGTACAAGTCTTTCTTATTGTTATTTCAATGAACGCATTATCTTTCATCATAGTCCATTCACCATAATTCACTTAACTTCCAGAATACTTGCTTTCAGTTTCTCTTTGCTGGTATTGGTAATGTTGGTAATTAACATCTTCACACACAGCTTTTTTTTTTTTTTCCTTATGGGTTACTGACTCATAAAGGGAATAAAATCCCTTGTGTATTTTGAAAGTAACTACTGGAATCTGTGAAGCAGTATTTACATCTTCGAAAAATGGCTGTGTTTAAGCTGCAAAATTCCCCCTTGTTGCCAGCAAGAGAGGAAGGTTTGGGACACAGATTTTATCACCGCTCTCTTTTGTAGAGACCTGTGAAAACTGTCCAGTGGCATTTGGACTGTCAAGTCCATTTAATTTATTGTTCCTCTTTTTTCTTTTCTTCTTTTAAATATTATGTTATAGGAGCTAGAAAGCAAAGTGGTTCACTATTACATAGATAATTAGGGCTCCTTAATGCGAAATCCAGGAGGCAAGACAGAGTGACCCTCCTCCCACCCCACATCAGTCTCTTAACAGTGTTTTCACATATAACAGTACCATTTGAATAACTACCCATTCAATTTAAAACTCAATCCTAAAGCAAAGAGAGAGCCATTTCTGTTTAAGTGCAGTACATCAGACACAGCAAATATGACACTCCAAAACAGAAAGGGCTATGAATAATTTCAACCACACTTAGAAACATTTTTTTTTAATTTGAGTTTATTGGGGAGGCATTGGTTAATAAAACCATACAGGTTTCAAGTGAGGGGTAGATAGTGTTTACATGCTTACCATATTTTTCCGTATGTAAGATGCTAGTTTTTTTCTAAAATCGTTAGACTGAAAATCGAGGGGCATCTTATACATGGAAGTTAGCCGAGGAGGGAGTTGTGAGAGTGCATAGCTGCCCATACCTTGTCAAACAGGCTTTCTCCAATCAGGAGTCTTATTGGT